CTAAACTTTTGTTTTAACTCAGCTTTTATTATTTCTGCTTAGTTCTATTTTTGCCATTATTTTCTTGGTTCTGCGCTTGTGATACTTTGAGCGGTGAATATAATTTTTTCATTTCTATCACAATCGTTAAGATTCTCTTAGCATTTTCTTTGTCAAAAGTCATGTCAAGGAACACATCTAATATATGTATATATATATATATATATTTTTTTTTTTGTGTTGCACAGCCGAAGCAGATCCACGAGATTAAGGATTTCCTTCTTACCGCAAGAAGGAAGGATGCCCGTTCAGTGAAGATCAAGAGGAGCAAAGACGTGGTCAAGTTCAAGGTTCGTTGCTCGAAGTACCTCTACACGCTTTGCGTGTTTGATTCGGAGAAGGCCGACAAGTTGAAGCAATCCCTCCCTCCAGGTGCGGTTTAGTTCTTTGAAATTTGTTTTCTTCGAAATTTGTTTACTTCTGTGATCAATTGTTACGCCAGGTTTAAGTTGTTTATAATTTGGGCACAAACTTGTTTATAGTCTGTTAATTTTCTGCTTTGTAGTTTTTGTTCCCTGGTTTTGACGGCCTCTTTCACTTTTTGTTTAGGTTTGAGCGTGCAGGACCTGTGAAGATTCTGATAGTGTCATGGCTTTTAGAATTGCGAATCCATCTTATTTTATGACATTTTCTGTTTTTTATTGAATTTTTGGGTAGTTTATTGCTTAATATGAAAGATTTTGAGTTTATATGTTATGCGAATTATCGGGATTGTGTTCATGTCTAGACCCCCGGAATGCTTTGCTGCTTTTAATGTATCAGTGCAGCTTTCGAAACTTGTAACTTGATCGTGTTTTTTTCTCGTTTAATTCACCATGTTCTCAAATATATTGTGCAAGTATATTCACTGGTATATTGTTGATGTATTGTCGACCAAACTTGAGTTTAAATGACAAGACGTCAATATGATTTTTGCATAACAATATAAAATAAAAAATGACGGCTATTGTCTGGATGTAGAGTTGAAACTCAGGCTGCCGGAATTGGATATTTGGGCTTTGGCGGGAGCCCTAAAGGGTGGGAGGTCAGCCCGACCCTAATGCCTGATGGGCTGGGGCTGGCCGATCTTTTATAAGGTAATATTTTGGGAAAAAACCAAAATATCACTAAAGGTGGTAAAAAAATTATTTAGCTCTACGCCATCGGTCTAGCTAGCCTGGCCTGGACATTAAACTGGGTGGGTTGTAGGTCGTACTGGATCAATAGTAACGGGCTTTGGGGCTTTGGGTTAATCTGTTCGGCCAGTTTAACTTGTAATTCTAACTGAATGTGATAGGGCCTTTGCCATGGGCTTCTGCGTTCTGTAACGGATGCATTTAGCACAATGTCATGGGCTTCTTATAGGGATACTACGAATTTTAGGGTTGGATTGACTTATGCCTAAAGAAGTTTATTCGTAGAGATTGTCACAGCAACATCATCACACTAAATTTGATATTCCAGATATATCTTAAAGATATCAGCCGGTATCTGTTGTGATACCGGCCGCGACATCGGTATCTGGTTGAGATACTAACCAGTTTCCCGCTGGTATCTAGTCGATATACCGTCTGATAACCGTCGGTATTGACGACAGTTCAATTGTTGTAGTCGCTGGAGTACGTTTGAAATCTTGCAAACGTACTCCGTACGTTTTTTCCTGCGAATTTTCCCACAAAATTCTCAAAATTTTTACCAGCATCGTACCAAACAAAAATTAAAAAAAGAAATCAATTTCCAAAAACACAATCTCCGTAGGAAAAAAAAAATTCAGACCCGATGAGAATCGGTCTTCATCTTCCTAGTGGCGGAGAGATTTCATTGGTCGCTACTGTGGCGGCTGCAAACCTTATTTGTGGAACTCTACCAGCAACAAGAATTTCCAAAAGGTCAACGGATCTGCTAAAGGGGTGTGCTGAGAGAATTTGGAGATCCACGGGTGAAGTAGAGAGGAGAAACGATCGAAGGAGATGCTTGTCGGTAGTAGGGGAAGGCGAGATAACATCCATGAGCAAGCGGCGTCGGGGTTGTTCGGGCGGCTGTGCAGGAGAGTGCGAGAAAGAAGGAGAGAGAAGAGAGAAGAAAAGAGCCGAGAGGAGGAAAGAGGGAAAAAAAAAGCTAACCCTGATATATTTTTAAGGTATTTTAGATTTTTTGGCCTGAATTTTATTCTGCCATTGGCAAAAAATTTAGGACATTGTTCGCTTTGTGAATTTGAGTTTTTAATTTAAGTTAAGATGTTACATTTTGTAAGAATTTTTAATTTTAACAAAAAAAAATATATGTAATATTTTCTTAAAATTTTTAAATATAAAAATTTAGAATTAAAAATTTAAATGAGTAAAATAAACGAGGCTTGAACCATTGGCAAAAGGCTATCCTCACTCAAATACCGTTGCATTTCCTGTAATTATTCCAGTCATCCTATTCTGATATTAAGTTGCCTTAGTTTTGTGAGAAATTTACTTAATTTTTTTTTTTAGAAGTGTATGAGTGTAAATTTTATCTATTATTTTTTATTAATATTTTTTTTATTAATATAGTGTTTGATTAAATGGATATTAATTAAAAATAATGGATAAAAATTAAGAATCATGTAATTTAAATAGATATTTGTTTCAATTTTTTTTTTTAATTTTGTTTTTGGCTTTCTGCCTCTACGTAAAATTGAGGGCAGAAGTGTTTGAGGAAATGATAATACCCCTAATTACATATGTGAACAGGACGGGGTAGAGGCCACTGCCTCTAATGGGGCGGGTTACCCTGCAATCATGTTTATTGAGTTCATACAGTGGAGCAAAGCGGGTTAGTCAAATTCACTCAATGTTAAAAAAAAATAAAAATTTATTTACTCACTTTAAAAAAATTTATATAGGTGTTCCTCATAGTATTTGAAATGTATAAATTACATCATTATAAAAAACACAAATTACATCACTATAAAAAAACCTTAAGATATGCCTATGGGTTTTCTAAGAAGACAACACTTTAACGTAATATATAAAAATAATGAGTGTAACATGACATTTGTCAAAAGCAATATTTACATTGTAAATGCGTAATAACAGTATATGATTATTAATTTTTTTACAATTAGTATTACGCTAAATAAATATCATGTTATGCTTTTCATTTTTATATATTAGTGAGAGCATGATTCTCAGGACCGTGGCAAAACCTAACAACTCTTTTTTGTGTTTTTATAGTGCTCTACTGTTTTTTTTTGACTCCGTCAATAAATTTATAATGTTTCTTTTTTCTTACGCTATACGACTAAATCATTTTTTGAAAAAGTGAAACGTAGTAAAGTCATACGATAACCTTTTCTTTTATTCTTTTTTGTGATAAATAGTAACACAGATTGTTTTTGTTGAAAGTATTTAGGCTTTGTTCATTCTGTTAGTTCGAATCACAACTAATTAAATTTTTATGATAGTGTTTTATCTCAAAAAAATTTAAGTATAACTTTTTATTATAATATTTTTTCTCATATGAATTTACTTTTTAACTCATATTTTCAATTCAAACGAACAAAATGAAACGATGGCTTAATTTTCTGTTATATTTGATGGTACTTATCATCAATAATCCTTTTTGGCACCTTTCACGACAGCATATTATCAATAATCTAGAAAAGAATGCCATTAGAAGAAAAAAAAAAGTAAAATCTAGAAAAGGGTTTGTGAATATGATAGTCCCTTTAGCAGCAAGGCTTGTCGAGGATATCCTTCATAGATACCATATTTATGCCATTGCCATCAATATTTATGTTTATCCCATTTTTGACTCGTTAACACAATTTCATCTCCATTTGCACCCAACTTATGATTCTTTTTTTTTTTTTTTTTAAATTTTAAATTTTATTTTTATCCGCAGCACTTGACCATTCAGGCCATCCATGCCACGTGCTACTCTACCCATGTTATTTTCGCAAAAGTCAAGGGCTATAAATTGAATTTCTCATAACCAATAATATGTGACTCATCTTCGTTTCTACAAGGCTCTAGATTAACCTACCGTAGAAGAGTCTGACCCCACTACATTTTTTTTAAAAAAAAAAAAAAGAAAATTGTCGAAGAAGGTTAGGTGTGAGTTGTGAGAGAGATTATTACGCACACGGCTTATCCATCTACATCTCGTTTAAAATAAACGATTAATTCTCAAACATTGACATGATATGCACTATTTTCTTCAAAATGTTAAATTTATCATATGCACACGTACAGATTTTTAATGGTTCCGGATATATAACTCGAAAAAGTAGTCATGATAATTCTAAAAAGAAAAAGTAAAAATAGTCATAATACAGAGTTGCATGGGCTGACTTGCCCCACTCAAAATTTTTCTTAAAAATATTATCTTTTAAAATTTTAAAATTTTACGCTTAAATTTTACCGAAATAAAATGTCTTTATTAAAATAAATATATATTTTTTTATATTTTTATTAAGATAATTTATTAAAATAATTTTTTTTACTGATTCGAGTTTAGAATTTGAGTTTTATTATAGTAAAAAATTTTCAGAAACAGTCACATATAACTTTTTTGTTACAGTAAAAAATTTTCATACAACATCACATCTCAACTCAAATTAAAAATTCAAATTAACGAACCGAACTAATACGTCTTTAACTCCCTTACTGGTCATAATATTCAATAAACAGTGACAAACGATTAGTGCACGTTGTTTATCAGTTAAAAACTAAAACAGTATAAACAAGATACATACAGTCTTAGAATCACAAACTATCGACTTATGTGACGTTTTGTAAGGGGATTCGTACCCTGATTCGAATAATGATTCATGATTTGTTACAGTATTTTCTCTTAAAAAAATACACGTAAATTAAAAATAATTATAATCTTATGATTTTAATTCGTGAACCAAACGTCTCCTATTTATTTATTTTTTTCAACGAACGAGATCTGTATTTATTGACTCTATTTTTACATCATTATTTTTCTCGCTTGCCTTTCATTTTGCTAGCTAAGGACCAAGTATAAGAGGGGCTTCAATGAAGAAAGTCCAAGACACCATGATTGTGCTTCGAAAAAGGGACAGAGAGATTGCATAAAGCAAACTTCCAATTCAGACTCAAACAACTACCACTTTTCATTCTTAAGGTAAAAAAATTAATAAAATAACTACCAGTTCTCAGGCCGGGCGATTCCGACCGTTGAGGCGGTTTAACGGTCAGTTCCAGTTTGTTAGATATCTGTCTGTCTGTCTGTCCGTCTGTGAAGTTAGTTTTGTTATTTTTCCTCGAACAGTTCTTTAGTTTCCACAAGCCACTTTTGTCTGAGACTTCAATTTATTTATTGGTTTTATCTTTTAGCTTCTTGTTTTTTCCGCCCTGTTTTCGGAACATATTTCGGGTCGGGTCATGAAGGGAAGCTTATTAAACTGGCCGTGTTTCGGCAACAACCGGAGCTCCGATGACGCCGACGTTGATCTCGACCCGGTCCTGCTCGTCACCGGCATGGGAGGCTCTATTATCAACTCCAAGTGTAAAGCATTGGGGATTTCATTCGAAACCCGGGTATGGGTTCGGATCTTCTTGGCTGACTTGGAGTTCAGGAAGAAAGCCCTTTCTGTTTATAATCCCAAAACAGGTCATCTCTATACTGTCTCTTTATTACACACACTCATTTGTATATATATACAAGTATAGATGATTTTCTATTTTTTTTTTTTTTCAAATTGCTTTTAAGATTTCTTTTTATGTGCAAAGTTTATATACACAGCCACTCTGTTTTAATCATTAGATTAAGTCACGCATTGTAAATTTTTAACTTGAATACTCGTAAATTTGTGGAATTCATACATGTAATTAAAAAGGATAGAACTTGCCGTAGTAGTTTCTTATACATATTTGTTAGAGGCTCTTTTGGCTGGGGAGGTACAAGACATGTCCTGGGCAATGTTTCCTTTTTTGAGCCAGTTTTTGAATTCTGGTTGTGTAGCTATTTGTTATGTTTAAATTAGCTTACTATGAAGTCGATGATTATGCGTTTTCCAGGTTACACAGAAGCAATAGAGAAAGATACAGAAGTTGTGGTTCCTGATGATGATTATGGTCTCTATGCAATTGATATTTTAGATCCATCTTCGGTATTATTCTATAGTTGTTCCCCATAATTCTCAAAGTGCTTATTAGTTGCTATTTTTTGTTTATCCGCTGGAATTAATTTTTCTTGCTAAACCAACCCCCTTTTTTCTTTTTTTTTTCTCAAGGTTGTAAAATGCTTACATGTGACAGAGATTTACCATTTCCATGATATGATTGATATGCTTGTGAAATGTGGGTACAAGAAGGGGGCCACATTGTTTGGATATGGTTACGATTTCCGGCAAAGCATTAGGTTATTTTATGTTCTATATCATGTTACTACTCTTTGTGGTTGAATTCCTTTCTTGGTTATTTGATTTTCAATTGTTTGGTGTTTTTGGTGATTTCATCAAAACTATTCACTATCTTGCTGTGTTGGAAGAATTGATAAGTTGATGGATGGCCTTAAGACAAAGTTGGAATCCGCTTACAAGGCCTCTGGGGGTAGACAAGTTAGCATAATTACGCACTCGATGGGAGGTCTGCTAGTGCAGTGCTTTCTGTCGCTACATAGTGATGTACGCGTATTTTCTCTGTCACTAGTTGAAATGAGAATCACAATTTTTTTAGAAGTATAAGCACTTCATTACTTGAAAGTCTCCTGATCTGTGCTTTTAATTATGCACCAACAGTTATTCGCGAAATATGTGAAAAAGTGGATCGCCATCGCGTGTCCCTTTCAAGGTTGTGCTCTTTACACTGCTTTTTTCCTGTGGAGAATATGATTGCTTCTCATATCAATATTAGTTGATTTTCACATCTCTTGATTGTTGGAGAGATTAAGGATTTTCTACAAATTTTGGTATCTTGTAATGATTTTTGGCTGAAATATGTGTTAACAGGTGCACCAGGAAGCATCAATGATTCTCTTTTAACTGGATTGCAGTTTGTTGAAGGCTTTGAAAGCTTCTTTTTTGTGTCAAGGTGGTCAATGCACCAGCTGGTGAGTACATAAGTTAGATTTCTTGTCCTTGTTGGCGTATTTTAGATTCAGGAACGGAAAATGCAGATCATAATTGTCTGTTCAAGATGGAATCATCTCGACATCTTGAAATACTGAACATTAGACATGTCTGTTTCTTAACATTAGACATGTCTGTTTCTTTGTGTAGCTGATCGAGTGTCCATCGATTTATGAAATGTTGGCGAATCCAGAATTTAATTGGAAGAAGCAACCGCAAATACATGTTTGGCGAAAGAAATCTAAAGGTGGAGAAACTTCTGTTGAATTGGAAAACTATGACTCTACTGAATGTATAACTTTGTTTGAAGAAGCATTGAGGAACAATGAGGTACTACTGTCTACTGCCAATAGAGAACTTTCCATAACTATACATTTTGGATTGTGTTGGTAGAGGTCTGAATTTCTTCTTTTCACATCAGCATTTCCCCTAATTACAATCTAAATCCTTTATTATTATTATTTTTATTTTTCAAAAGAGGCTGGGTTTTGGTGATTTTCATTGATCTTTCTATGGCCATTATCTTTTCTTAACTAAAAGCTAGAGCTCATAAATTTTACAATGCAGCTAGAATATGATGGGAATAAAATAGCTCTGCCCTTTAACTTCGCCATTCTCAAATGGGCCGCTGGTACTCGGCAAGTTTTGAACAAGGCGAAATTACCAGATGGTGTCTCCTTCTACAACATCTATGGGACATCGTTCGACACGCCTTATGATGTATGGTATGGCAACGAGCAACTCTGCAAGATACAAAATATCCAGCACGCAATCAAAACTGTAGTTAGGTCTAAGTTTGAGTCTTGCAGCTACTAGTATTGACTGGGATCTTTGTTTGAACTGCATATGGTAAATCTTTTTCAATTGTCATCTTAAAATTCAAACAGGATTTGAACAACTGACATAGGACGATGTTTTCTCTTTATGTATCCTCTTTTTTATTTAAAACAAAGATGTGCACTTTTTCTTTCCAAACTTGCAATTGTTGCAGCTAAAATTGCATCTGATCATATGAGTACCACAACTGCAGCTATGGCTCGGAAAAATCTCCAATCGAAGACTTGTCTGAAATATGCCACTCAACGGTGAGTGATTTATATTTGCTTCTAAAACATGAACCTTTTAGAAGTAGTTATATGATTTAGCCACAGATTTCTAAAACCACATATATTAACTCATGCCTTCACTAGTCCATGAAACAAAGCCCCTCTAGTCACAGCTAAACATGTTCCAAAATGTGTCTTGGCAAATGATATATGCTCATGCTTGTTGTATCTCGTTAAATTTACGTCGTTTCCTCGTTCCAGCCCCAGTATTCAAATGTTGATGGCGACGGAACAGTTCCCACCGAATCAGCAATGGTATTTCACCTGATGCTTATGTTAAAATTTTGAGCAGCCTATGCAAATAGTTATCTAATTTATGATTCCTTGTTTCTTTCCATTTTACAGGCAGATGGATTTGAAGCAGCTGAAAGAGTGGCAATTGCAGCTGCTCATAGGCAACTGTTAAAGGACAATTCTGTTTTCAAATATATCCAAAAATGGTTGGGAGTAGAGCAGAAGGTCAGCAAGCATTCCAAAACGTCCAGAGTTGCAGACATTCCTTCTTCAAGTATGCATGTGAACGTGTAAAATCCTTTTCTGCTTGAAAAGGATATAATAGTAATAATAATATTGCACATGTATACCATTATTTATAATTATTATGAGTTATGACCGTGATACATGGATTGAATTTGTATTTTTCTAGCCTGGTATGTAATTTCTGGACACAGATATGGCCTCTGAGTAACTGAAACATGCCATGAATATATTTACAGGACTCGAAAAAAAAAAAAAAAAAACCCGATATAGCAATTAAGTAACAATTGACATATGCTCGGATGATTACAAATTTTAGATTTTTACGGTAAAGTGTGAAAAAAGGATCTACTTTGAACCGATACATACCATCAGATATGTATCACTATGACAATTAGCATTTAATATATATGTGATGTGTGATTTTGTCTAAATGTCAAAACATACAGTTGTGATCAGAAACATGCTCATTGAAAATTATCAATAAAGCAATTTTTTTTTTTTTGATAAAAAATTATCAATAAAGCAAGTTGAACAAACGCAGACTAGACTGGTAAATGATGATAATAATTGGTAAATTTATATATTTATTTACTAGGGATGTCAATTATTGGGGAGCTATGATTCCCATTATTTAAAGGGAAAAAGAGAGAAATAGGTCAAGATTTGAGATGAATTAAAATTAATAGGTTAATAGTTTACATAAGTTAATAAATAGGTCAAATTACTGTTTTCATCTATAACTTGTCTGGTTATGAACCATAACTTGACAAGTTTGTCCATAACTTATCTGGTTATGAACCATAACTTAACAAGTTATGGTCTATTAATTTATATAATTAAAAGTTAACCTATATACTTCCTTAAACTTTTCACCTATTTTTTACTATTTTCGTTATTTTTAAATGTTTGGAAAATGATATGGCTTCTGTAGCAAAGTTAGTGGGTCGAAGAATTCGACAGTTGGTCCATGGTTCGTCATCAGACTATGATGGCCCCAAGTGAAGGTAAGTAGGCCCAAGTCTCATCCTTTGAAGAATTTCAATTTCCAAGGAATCATTATTCTCCTAACAATATCACAAGTTTAGCACTTGATCGAAGTTGTTCATCTAGCAGCGCCTTCATGATTGCATTCCCCCCACACTTCATTAATCAGCTCCAAAAGTTTTACCAATCTTCTTCCTCTTCTATTTATTTCGGAATCTTTTATTGTAGGATATGCATTTTTACTCCGTTGTTTTTAACTGTTCTTATTCGTATATTCGATCAAATTTGTAAATTCCCATTAAAAATTACAACACGTAATTATTCTTATTTCAGATCATACAGTTGAAAAACTAATTCAACGATTAAAACACAATTCTTATTAATAGAGCAAAATAATCTTCTCCACCGTAAAGAAACCCTTATTTATTTGGGAATCTTTATCACCAATCTTCATACTTTTCCATTTCAAACTCACATGTGTAAGCCCTAGCATCCATATATTCCCTTTGAATTGATTAATGTTGTAATTTTTCTTACTCAGCAAAGCTTTGACAGTGTATCCCAAAAGTGAAATCTGTCCCCACGTAATCCCAATCCAATATTATTGCCATAAAGTTTTAAGAAGGGTTTCTTTTTTCTCCTTTTATGCTAAAAGAAAGGAGACACATTCATTGCTTAACATATGAACAAGAAGAATTCTTGCTTCCTCTTTCCTATATGTGCACACAAAAGGACACTTTGCTGTAAATATTGGTAGAGGCCGGGATATGGTGATGATCCTATATATAAGGGGAAACATAAAGTAAGCTATATATGTGTGTATATATATATATATATATATATATATTCAACCCAACACATGCAAGTAGCTAGACAAAAGGATTTCATACCTACCTGCTATAATATCTCCAAACAATGTAATGTAGATGTGTACAAGTGGTACTATTAAGAAAAGAATTAGACCAACTTAAGGCACACGCAAAAGGGTGCACCTAATTTTTACTATTCAAGTTCATGCATGCCAACACATAGAGAGTTGGCACATATACACATGGCAAAGAAGAAGATCAACTTAGGCCATGGGATACTAGTAATTATATGCACTCGGATCCAAGATATTTTCTTGCAAGTTCAAGGAAATGTTATAGGACTTTTTTTATTTTTATTTTTTTTTTTATAAAAAACTAATTTGTTTGTTTGTTTTTTTTTTCTAATTTGTTTGTTTTGTTTTTTTATTTATTCATATAGCTTAAGGGGAGGGGGAGGTGGGAGGGGTTGGTCAAAGTCAAAAAGTTTGAATCCCAAACAGAGTTTCCTAACCTCATAGGGTTTTGGGGTTATAATCAAAATTTAAGATGAATGAAAACCCCAAGAAAGAGACGAGAATGAGCATTCCTAGGCCTGTTGGCTTATGAGATGATTCTATTTGAGATAAGTAAGCGACAGTCACAGACACGCATGAGGCATGCATTTTTATAATATATGTACATATACATATATATAATTATATTATATGTCGCAAATGAAGCAGCTCAAATGCCATCTCTCTCTCTCTCTCTCTCTCTAAATAGTATCTGACTTGAACGTTGGATTTTTGTGCCATGTCTACATGAGGAAGAAGAATTGGGCTCACAATTTTATATATAAAAACCTAGGAGAGTGACAAGGCAGGGAACGTCTTTAAATGACCGATCTCTTAATATACCATAAATATGTTTATAGACCACTTCGTAATATTTCGTGTCTTTATCTATGGCATTCAGTTAATAATACAAGTTTAGTATTAATAAATTCGCTTGTCATGCTCTCAGAACAAAATTAAAAGGTCGGCAAGGACATTATAATACATGTATGATTGATTATATTCAAAGAAGTGGAGTAAAACATACACAAAACCCACGTATAAAAAAAGCATGACCTTTCCATTGATCATACTCTAATTCAATAAATATATACATATAGACACGAGTAGTTAATACTTAATACGGACAAAAAAGAGAAAGAAAATTACGTTTAAGCGTATGTATGTATAGACAAGGCATGGGATGCAAAAAAGGGGCATGGGGTTTGGACCTTTCATAGCTTTAATAAAGTTTTACTTTTCTTGGAAATCTCTTCTTTGATGGAGGGGTTTTTTTTTTTTTTTTTTTTTTTTTTGATTAAGAGGGCGAAAAAAACAAAACAAGAGAGAGAGAGAGAGAGAAAGGAGGAGAGAGAGAGAGAGAGAGAGAGAGAGAGAGAGAGATCAATATTCACGTAGTGGTGAGTGTAGTGAGGTATTCTTTCCGAGAAGGCACGGGTGCTCCGCTGATTTCTCCAATGCAATCCCAGTTCCCACCGGGCTTTTCCCCTTTGAATATTGCATAACTCTCTGTCTTCTTCCACCACCCAAAAAACCAAAAAAAAAAAAAACAAAAAAAATTCTGTCCTCGGTTTTCATGATGTATATACACATTCAATAATTATTATCAATGATATATGATATATCTTATATATGTTGCTTTTGGTTCTTTGTACTGATCACGTAAACTTAATTTCAAATCTATAAAGAATTTATAAGATCTATAGTTTATATAAAAAAAGGAATGGATATTTCACTACTCACTACCTTATATTAAGAGACAAAATTATTATACGGCCAACAAAAATAATAATGGCGTGGAACAATATTATATACTTCATGGTGATATAAACAATATACTCATTTCCTTCATTGGACAGGAACCATATTCCATAAAATTAATAATTACAAGCATTGGATGGGAAAGAGTTCCTAGGGTTGGGAAATTAGAAAGATATCCCGTGTTCCTTTCTCCATAAATATTGCCCATATTCTTGGGTACCCCATTGCTCATGTTATTCAAATAAACTAGAGGAGTGGGAAAAAAAAAGTTATAAAAACTGAAGTGAAAATTGCACAATGAGTAATTAGGCACTTATTCTATCTATATGTACTTGTGTGATCTTCTTTGCTAAGCATCAAGAAAATTACTTTTGTACATGCACTGATCACAAATAGATTTGGACGACTTGGTCATGGAGCACAGAAGAGTTACTGAAAAAAAAAAAAAGACATTCTTTTTATCATACGTGTACTATAGTTATTAATGGAAGTTACAAAAAGGCCTTGTGAAATTAACAAATAAAACTTTCCGAGGATCCACACAAGTCTGAAGTTTCCCAAAATTCATAGCAAGAGAGAAACTAAAGTCTCATATGCTATGGCTGAACTTCAAACTAGATCCTTTTTAGAAATTTTGCATTGCATGCTACAATATATGGATAGCCGCGAGTTAGAGACCCAAAACACAAAGGTCCTATGACAATTTTCCCTACATGATCATAATTAGTAAACACAAAATTAGGAGAATAAAAAACCAAAATTAGGAAATCAGTTGGCGTATACATCCCTATTCCCTTTTTCCTTCCCACAACCAGAATAAAATATAATAAAAGAAAACCACATTCCCCATTTCCCTTCTTCTCCTTCTTCTTCTTCTTCTCCTTCTCCTTCTTCTTCTTCTTCTTCTTGCTTCTCCATATCATCAGTAGCTAGTCAGTTTCTATGCATCGTTCCAAACCGTGAAAGTCGGAGTTCCGTGGCAAACCGCCATGTTATTAGACCTCGGTGCGAGGGTCGGGACGGCGGTCGGAACCCAGTTGTTGCAGGCCGAGCCCTGGTCATAAGCACTGGCCTTAACCACACCAACCTGCGATTGCTGCGGCAGATAATACAAGCTCCTATGATAAGCATCCGTGGATGTACCAAACACATCATGAGTTGTAGTACTAGTAGTACTATCACCAAAACCGTTATTTCCTTGATCGCTTGCTATAACTGTTGCCATAGGAATCACGTACCCACCAGTACTATTAGTACCGTTTCCGTAGTTATTACCGTTATTGTTGTCCCCATACATGACGGAGTTTGAACCGGAGCTATGTTCAATGGTGGGAGACGAGTGATCAATTCCCATCAGATTGTGAAGAACGGAATTTGGTTGAATGAAATTGTGGGTGTTGCTCAGCTGAAGCTGGTGGTGAAGATCATGAGGAAAGCTGCTATGTTGATCAGAAGTAGTATCCTGCTCTTGCTTGCACCAAACCCTTTGGCCGTACGGGTAATTATGCATAACGAAATTAGGCTGCTGGAATGCGAGTGTGGGCCAGGTATTGTGGTGGCCGTAGTTGCTGATGGCGTCGGTGAGCTGAGAGCTCATGTTGTCGTCGTCGGTTATGCGCTGTCCGTCGACCGTCATTTCCGCTTTCTCGACGTCTTTCAGCCGCTTCGCTGCCCCGCCGATTGGCAGTGTGCTGCTCTCCAGGATGGACTTGACGTCGTATCTGCTCATGTCGAAGTTCGTCACTGCGTTTAGCCCTCGGAACTTGATGGCTGCAATGTCGTATGCCTCTGCTGCTTCCTCTTGTGTGCCTATATGAAATATCAACATTTTATATTTGTCCTGGCTTTTTTTACAAACAGCTTGTCTTCATAAATAATTATGGTTGATCAAATATATATTGTTATAATTAAGGACTTACTGAAAGTGCCCAAGTAGAGGTCTTTGTTTCCTGCAACTCGTCCAATCCTCGCTTGCCATCTTCCGTGCTGGTGGTGTCTGTCGTTACCCAACCAAAAAAAAGAAGAAAAAATGCACGATTTATATTGATTCCAACAATAGTTATAATTGATTGTTGAACAAAGTAACGTGAAAAAGTGCTAGTGAGTACTCAGAAATGAGAGATACAAATCGGCATTTCAACTTCTGTTCGTGAACTTTTTAGTCCTCTCAAGTACTTGAGGTTCAAAAGAGTTCATAATGTCAATATTGAACATAATTTGATGTTAATATTCAGTTCATTTTCGGTACTGCTATTATATATTTACCTTGTTACACCTCGGTAAATGGACGCACCCCGAGAAAACCCACTACTCTTCCTGCACCAAAATTATTGCTAAAGTTAAAAATCCCTTTTCCATATATGTTTTGAAGTAAATAAAATCTGCTTTCGATATGCCAGAAGTGTGGTTATATATGTGCAATATGAAGCTACAGTGCATGACATTTCAAGCTATATTATACCTTCGCAAAGAGGCTACATATTCCTGCCTTGTCATGTGCTTCATCCAGAAGTGTGGTTATATATGTGCAATATGAAGCTACAGTGCATGACATTTCAAGCTATATTAATTATACCTTCGCAAAGAGGCTACATATTCCTGCCTTGTCATGTGCTTCATTTCTTCCAATTCCTTTTCGTAATTACTGATCTGATTTACGCCATAAGAGAAAGAAAATGATTTGCTTAATCAGCAGACGTATACATAACAACAGCAGTACTCATGCATCTTTGTTGTTTAGTTATTTGACACATTCCCGTTATTAGGGACGACTACACTTTTTACGAGCACTACGGACATTATGTAAATGCACCTTAATTTAGTGCTCAATACAGTAATCCCTACTTCTAGGATAAATAGAACTTTATATGTGCTTGTTATGGTGCAGATTATGCATTTGAAAGACTTTTTTGCAATTTAACTACGTATAGTTATTTGAAAACCAAATAAATAGTCAATATGACTCCACAGTCACTTGGTGCTAACCGGCCTATAAATATAATGCATGTTTTAATTTAATATATAGAAGGAACTGGAAGGACAAAAAATATATAAATAAATAAATAAATAAATAAGAAAACTCACAGGGAAATTAGTAGTGGTTGTGGTACCCCAGTATTTCAATGCTGCTAGATCATAAGCTCTAGCCGCCTTTTCTTCTTTGTCATAACCTCCTACAGTGAAAATAATAAAGAAAAATCAGAAGTGATGAAGAGTTATTAAATTAACAAACATTGAAAAGATATTTGAATTAGAATGGAAAACTCTTGTTCCGAACTTACCCAAGTAAACTGCAAGTTTAGGAGATCAAGAAGCCCCAGATTAAATGAGGGAGAGGAAGAACCCACATCAAGAAGAACACTAGTTAGTACAAGCATACATATTTGTGAAAGTATAGAAATATTAATTACCGACATAGAAATGCAAAAAAAAAAAAAAAAAAGGTGAATAACATTATACCTTGCCTTCCCTTACGAGTTTGGCCTTCTCTTCTGCAACTATTATCCCATAGATGAGCCTCATATCTACCTGTCCATCTATGCCTGTAAGAAAAAAAAAACAAAAAACAAAAAAACAAAAACAAAAAGAAAAGCTCACGTTGTTACACCCAAACCCACTGAAATGCACCCAAAAAAAAAAAAAAAGATATTGATCATAACCTAACCTTGTTACACCACGGTATATAGAAGTTCTTTGTCCAAAAGTATCAATGGACTTTCTAGGCACGGCCTCAATAGCTCCAGTCTGGCTATCGATCCCCGCCGCCGTTGTCCTCGGCTGCTGCTGCTGTTTATTATTATCCGACGAAGAACTCTCTCCACCGCTCGCCGCCGCAAGAAGTGGCAAAGGCGAGCTGGACTGCGATCCAGTACTCATCGAAAGCGAGAGGCTACTCTGCCCATTAGCAGTAGTAGCAGTATTACTATTCCCACAAGCACCATTACCAGTAGTTGCACCGACGTCGTTTTTGTTCTCCTGCTGGGTCGTCGGCGCTGGCTGGTTCCTTAGCCACGTCTTGATCATGGAAAGCCCAATGGAGCTGCTATTGTTGTTGTTGCTGTTGCTGTTGTTGTTTGCACCACGGTCCACCGCCTCCGACGGCACGTGCAGAGAGCCGCAGGTTGTCGGGAACATGTAGTCTGCGGCGGCGGCAGGGTTGGGGCTGTATGAAACGCCGGTGTGGTCGTGATGATGAAAAGAGTGTCGGCCGAGGAAGTTCTCGAGCTTCGGTTGTTGTTGTTGATGTTGATGTTGGTTTTCTGGGTTTTGAGTGTTACCCATTAGCATAGAGAAGTCTGATGATGAGCTAGTCTTGTAGTTTGTGTCCGAGTTCATCCCTAAACCCTTCATATTCCAATCTGCAAAGCAAAAAAAAAAGTCAAACAAAACTGTAATCTAAATGAAGATAAAACACATATAGTTCTTGTTTTATATTGATCCTTTACATTTTTTTTTTAAAAAAGATTTGCTTGAAAAATTAATGATGAGAGTGAGGCAAGACCTTGGGAGTGATGATTGTTTCGGTTGAAGGCTTCAAGTATGCCAAAAGGGGGAGGGAGATGGTTTAGGGAAGGAGCAGTGGAGTCGGAAGTGAGATCGAAGCACTCGCCGGAGACATCGTTACCGGAGATTTCATCGGAGTTGAAGCCAAGGCGTGAGACTACTGTGGACTGAGCAGAGTGATCTTGATCATGGTGATGATGAGGGTTTGATGCAGGGAGTTCTTGAGGGGAAAGAGAAAAGCCCAGCCAGTTCATGGAAGCCATAGATATATATATATATATATATATATGTATATATATATATGTTGTTGAGGGACCTTTCTAAGAGTGAGTAGTGCTAAATATTGATATTAATGGAATCTAATAATATTAGCCTATAAGGCAGATGATCACAGGAATTAGTCCATGCATGAATTTATGAGTAGAGAGTGAGAGAGATATTGTAAGTGAAGAAGAAGAAGAAGACGAAGAAGATGATGAAGAAGAAGAGGAAAGGTCAAAAACTCTCTAAAGATGGAATAGCAAAATAATCTCTTCCAGAGCCAAATGAAAGAAGATTTTATATTACTCTCTCTCTCTCTCTCTCTATAGCTAGATGTCTCTCTCTCTCTCACACACACACAAATCATAAAGGGGCGCCTCGTGTACTTCAAGGGCATGGATCGAGCCTTAAACTCAAGTTTGGCTCTAAGATTAATGACGAGTAGGGTATGATGAGGTGGCGAGGGTGATAGTGTAATTTGGTATAAAAAAGTTATTTTTTTTGTTAAAAAAAGGTGCCCAAATCAAAAGTGTTCGGGGGGTTTTTGATCATATATATATATATATAGATATATATAGACACACACACACAATCTCTTCCTATTCTCTTTAATTCATTTATAGGAAGATTAAGAATGATAAAACTCTCTCTCTCTCTAAATCCAAACCCTGATAACTGGTATTGCCTGACAAAAAGAATAATAAAAAGGTACACGAGGAGAAGCTAAAAAGAAATGATTTTTGAACGAAGCCAGTCGTACTAACAATATATATTTATATACGTGGTAGTTTTAAAAAAAAATTTAAGCTTACCAAGTATTGAACACAAAAATGGGAAATTCAAGCTGAGCTTTATCTTCCTGCGATGTCCAGTCTTATAAAGTTATTTATTGATATGTACTTCTTTATTTATAAACATTGTCTAACACATGGGCCATTAACCTAGCACGTGCTTTCGTAATCTTGAATAAAACTTGTGCCTCTTTTATTTTCCATCTTGGACTTCAAAGATACATGTTGTATATATTAATTAAAGTCACCCAGCTAGGTTAATTTTGTTAATTTGTTTTATAGTATATAACTAACCAAAACTCTCTATATAACATATACCAGCGGTACAAGTTAATGTTCGAGGTTGAGTTTTTTTTTTTTTTTTTTTTTTTTTTTTTTTTTTTTTTTTGTTGTGTTTTGGAACCATTTGTGTCTGCCACATTGGTGTTTATATTTCTCCGATTTACAATACAATTTTCCCTTAAAAAAATTTAAAAAAAAAAAAAAAAACTCTCAATAACGTCTCTTTGTAAATTTGCCTCTATTTCTCATCTTTGCTGTGAAACACCTGCAGAAGAAGATGCTATTATGCATATACATCTGACCCCAGTGTGACAAAAAAACCCACACGCAGCCCCTCTCCTCACCCATTTATTCATGCCCACTTGGACATTAGTCATTTCATGTCAGACTTATTATCAGACTCATCAATCAGATCGATGATCCCTCCCCCTTTTCATTTCATACATTTTTCATTGCATTCCAATGTTGCTCTCTCTCTCTCTCTCTCTCTCTCTCTCTCTCTCTCTCTCTCTCTCTCTCTCTCTGAGAGTCTGCCTGCAAACAAACACCCATAACTTTCTCACATTCCATCCATCCATATCACCATATTATTTAACTATTATCCCTTTAGTCCTAATCATCAAACTGCTCCCCCGCCACAAACGGGCGTCTCTATCTCTCTTAATTATATCTCTCTCAGAAGGGGGGGAAAAAAAGGGCTGTTTCTCTCTACTGTGCATATATAACAATAATTCATGCATGACTGACACTTTTTTAATTAATTTTTTAATTATTTATTTTTACAATGAAAGAGAAATGTTGAAGGGAGAGGGGGTGGAATCCTAAAAATATTCTTATAAAAAGTGTATTTTAAAAAATGGAAATAAGTATATAAGGAGATGGGTTTGCACCTTGTACCCCTATACGAGGACACTAACCCTTGTCTTCCGGGTCTTTGAGGTTATTATTTCATGCTCAAGTTGTAGTTTTTGAAGGGACAGATTGGAAGAAAATCTCACTTCTAAGGATCCAGATCATTGGTATTCCTATATCAGATACCCCTTTCAGTGCTTTTGTCAACTGCTTGATCTTTCTCTCTAAATCTCCTTTATTTTTTTTTTTTTGGAAAAAAAATAAATAGAACTGTTTATACTTTTGGCAACCAAATATATATATATATATATGTCAATTGATTTGTACATTAGAATAAAAAAGTAAACAACATTCTGATATGACACATGTTCAAAACAATCTGACTTTTTAAAAATGGAAAAATATTCTGATGATTTTGCAAATGCATACTATTTATTTGGTGTGTGTTGATTAAATGTCAACATATATGTATATACTAGGAAGTTCAACTTTCGCCAAGTTTTTCAAAATGTTTAGTACTGTTAAAAGGAGCAAATTAAATAACAATGAATAGATAGCAACTAACGAAAGTAGAAAAAGTGTCACAAAGTTTATGGTGATCGTTATACTTCATAAAATACGTTCATGCATTTGTATCATATATACATGCCTACGTACGTATTCATGTACGCAAGTAAAATTGTAAAAGACTCATCATTACGGAGAGAGACAAGGGTAAGAAAAAACAAATAAAAGGGTTAGTGGTGGTGGTGGTGCAGAAAGGAGGAGAGAGATAGAAAGATGAATGATTCTCGAAGGTTTCAAAGGGAGAAGAGAGAGAAAAAAGGAAAAAAAAATCCCACTGTAAGTTTGACCGTCAAGAAAGGAATCAAAGACGGTAAAACACATGGCCCTCAAACTGATTTTTTATGAATATCCCGTTTAAAAAATTGCTATTAAAAGCCTGCTGCCACTGTAAAAAAAAAAAAAAAAATTAAAGAAGTAAAATAAATGCTCTCGGTAATCTAATCATAATCATGCCCCAACCCCATAGCCCTCTTCTTAGACAGAGAAAGGAAGAAAATTTGAGAGAGAGAGAGAGAGAGAGAGAGAGGTATGACTTTTGACTCCAGGGAAGAACCATCTTTTAGGGTCGGCAAAATGACAAACCCTAGTAGTAGTATAATGTGAAAATGGGTGTTCAAGATTTTACCGCGGCCGTAGACCAGAGAAATTAATCAGAAAAGTGAAAACAAAAAAGATTTGATATTATTGAAATTACTCTGAAACCCTGAACTTTGTTCCAAATTCTCCAACTGAGACTTTGTGTCATGTGACCTGAATCATTAAAAGCTAGCAAGAGAATTTTAAAAAGAGAAGTTTGTGAATGAAAGCCATTTGTTACTAATTGGCTTCTTGCCACCCTTATTTCGAATGACATGTGTTTCTCATGTCTATATATACTTTCAGCGCATCTAGCTAGGTCTTAAGCTTTGAAATGAATTAAAACCAACAATACATTACTTCTTACAGGAAATGTTGGCCGATAAGAGAAAGTTATACATACAAATTTAAGAATACGATCTTTCAAATGAATATGATGTTTTTCAAATATATATTTTTTTCTTTTTTCCGTTAAACTATTTCACACTCTATGAGTATATTTAGGCCCCATTCATTTCACCAATTCGAGTTTAGAATTCAAGTTTTGCTACAGTAAAAAACTCTCAGAAACAATCACATCTAACTTTTTTACTACAGTAAAAAGATCTCATATAAAGTCACATCTCAACTCGAATTAAAAATTCGAATCAGTGAGCTAAACGGATCCTTACTTTACATCAAAGGAAAAGGAAAAGTAAGGAGTGATTTCTTTTCCTATCTAATAATGTGTTTAGTTACAAAATTAGTAACGAAGATTTACTGGGTCCCACACAATATAGTGAATGAGGAAATGAAATATCAATTCTTACACTCCCTTAGTATTGATTCCTTGTCAAAGAGAATGAATGCTAAATTTACTTATCTACCCTTATTGAATAGCTATACAATCAATGATTATTTAATTATGTAAAAAAATATTTTAAGGATTATATTTATAAAATTGCTATTCCTAATTTTGGTAAACATAAGAAAGGAAATGAGATTGTTTCTTATTACACCATATAACAGTTAAGTAAACATATAAAAAAGAATGAATAACCCTTAATTGTATTACTTTATTTTTCTTTTCAATCCTATTATGTTTCCCATTACATTCCTTTACGATTTAATAAACGTGCCTTGTAAGTAGTACTTAGTAGCCATATTCTACAAGTATCCTTGTGTTTATACAATGACTAATTGGTGTCAAATTTTTGTCCATGTGGCACTTTGTCGTATGAATTATTTTATTAGGCACTAATTTCTCATATCCTGCAAGGTATGCTAGCTTTGGTGGTTGATTAAGAGGACGATGGCAATAGTTCCAAACCATACCAACTAAAACTTCGTTCTTCTCGTTCAAATAAAGAATTTGAGTTAAAAAGTGAATTTATATAAGTAAAAATACTTTAATTGAAAGTTAAAATTAAAATTTTATGAGAGAAAATAATATAACAAAAACTTGAGTTATAATTTGAACTAAAGAAATAAATGAGGCCTAACTTTCTTTTGTTAAGTTTATATGTACGTATATATACATACACATATTAAAACGAATGCCATTTTGCAGGCGTGATGAGAAAGAGGGATATTGCTAAGTCCTACATATGAGGAGCTAGATAGAGAAGCTATAAGTCTCATCACCTGGAAAATGATTTGCGTTTTTCTTCTTCCGCTATTATGGGTTGTCCTATTAATTAGTCGATAAATAAGAATATAAGGTTCTTATTCTTAGTGTCTAACAAAATAATTTGAAAAGGCTAAGGCCTCGTTCTTTTCACTGATTCGAGTTTAGAATTCAAGTTTTGTTACAGTAAAAAGCTCTCACACAACATCACATCTCAACTCAAATTAGCGAACCGAACAGACCCTAAGTGTTAATAAACACTAATACGAAGTCTTTAGCGCCTATGAAAATAATTGGAAGGACAAAATGCCAAAAAAAAAAAAAAAAAAAATTCAAGAAGTGACCATGAATTATCTTTGTATTTAATTTGATGCATCATAATATAACATCAACTTCGATAGTAGTAGAGGTGGCAAGAGGGTTTCAACCTAACACCAATGATTGAAGAAGGAGAAAAATATTGGTACATATATATAATAGATGAGAGACTATAGTGGAGTTAACCTACCTTGGTCCACTAGGGGTAATATATATTGGGCCCATGTGTATATCTTGTAATGCTGTTTATATACGTGTACGAAAAGTTAATACATGCAGCCCATGCAGAGTGTACGAGCAGCCCATGCTTCACAACCAGATCATCGCAGTCATATCAGACCAGTCTGCTGATTTTTTCTCAAACTCGTGGCTGTCATTTCAGAGACACTTGACAACCTAGCTATCCTTCAGCCAAAAAAAAAAAAAAAAAAATCCTAAATATCTAGAAGAAGAGCATTATGTAAATTCTATAATTAGAAAGGCCAAAATTATAAAAAAAAAAATCACAAGAGAAACCGTATGTATACCTGCTAAAACTTCGAGCAAAAGCCCTCGCATCATTGCGCTTTCATAAATTGGAGACATCGATATATATCATGAAGATGAGAACTTGGAATATATATAATTCAGATCGTAACTTTTTTTTTTTCCTTTAAATAAGGCTCGCCAAACCCAATTAAGACATGGAAATTAAGCAGCCAAAAGATTTTTTTTTTTTTTCTAATTTCATGAAATTAAGTCTTGATAGTTGATTAACTTGATAGAATGCCTAATTAATTCTATTTATATTAACATCCTTAAGTTTTTGAGTGAAATCTATATAAATGGAATAACTTTTAAAATATCCTAAGATTTCAAGACTCTTTTATAATGTGTGTTTGTCAGTTTGTGTGTGTGTAGGACAGCTAATATTAAAAAGTGCATGAATTTTGGGCCTCAGTTAGCCACCTGAAAATTAGAGAAATTTAAGGCCGAAAAATAGTGATTAGATTCTTCATGAGGTGCCAACTTTGTCAAGTCATTTTTATTAACTGGGGGTTTGTGCCTTTTTCTTTGTGCGCGCGTTTGAGATTGGGCTATTGAGGGGTTACATGGGTGTTGGCCGGTGATATAGCTATGTATATAGGGTGGTGACTCGCCACACTCTCACGAGACATAAAAGCAGATAACAAGTAAGAGCAAATAGCGGAGAGATTTCTTCATATATATTGATGCATACATTGGCATTAATGCCCAATGGAACGGCAGAACGCCTGTTTCGTCATATATATATATATATATATATATATATATCTCAAAGTGCATACATGCATAGTTCACATAAAACATGGTGAAAAGGAGTACTAGCTACTCATGTAAAGTGGTCAATTACCACTACATGTTGTGTATATACATTTATATTATTATTCTTATTATTATGTCTAGGAATGCAAATTCTATGCCTGTCTCCTAGACACCAAGGGCTGCGGCTGCAACATAAGAGAGGAGATTGGAAACGATCATGAGCGCGCCGCCAGAGAGAGAGGGGGACATTTTCTAGAAAGGAATGTAATAGAATTAAAAAGTGAATTTATATAAGAGAAAATATTATAGTAAGAAAATGTTAAATTTTAATTTTTATGAGAGAAAACCGTATTATAGTAAAAATTTGAGTTATGATTCGAATTAGTGAAATGAAGGAAGCCTTAAGCCTCATTCAGTTTGCTGATTCGAGTTTTTAAATTGAGTTGAGATGTGATTTTATATGAGAACTTTTTACTGTAACAAAAAAAAAGTGACTTTTTATGAGAACTTTTAACTCGAGCAAAATTAAAATTGAAAATGAGCCCTTAATTTATATAAATACTTGCATCGGTAGACTGTAGATAATCTTTGATACATAGTTCGATTTTTTTTTTTTTTCAATGAACGATATGTAGTTGCATGAATAAAAAATATGGGGTTTGTTAATCACAAAAAGAGTGTAATAAATGACACGTAAAGGACGGGTGTTTTAAACTACACGTAAAGGACGGGTGTTTTAAACTACACGTAAAGGACGGGTGTTTTAAACGACATCAACAAGTAGTGTAAGGAAATAAACGACAACAAACTCATGGCAATTTTCTTCTTTCAAGACAACGACACGTCGTTTTTAATAAACTGCAGAAAACTTAAGACGACATGCAATATGTCCTGGAGATATTATAGCTCATTGTCTAGTTTGAATTTTTAGGATAATAAATAATATATCTATTACAACTATTAATAAATAATATTTTAAATTAAAAAATTTGTAAGAGTAAAAATATTTATTAATTAAATTAAATATTAGTAAGTACTATGCATAAGAAAAAATTAGTAATGTTGATGAAAAAATGTAGGGGAATTCGTGAGAGTAAATTTAGTCATGTGGTAAATTTAGTGTATCAAATAGTTGCTGGACAAATCCAAAGTTTTCAAAATAAATTTTGAATTTATTAAATTTTATCATTGAATAATTTCATTAGATCTCGAATTTACTCTATTTGAATGACTTTACTGCTATTTCTTAATTTATCTAAAAATTCCTGCCACAAGAAATGTTATTCTTCTAACTCCTAAAAAATACAGTGCATAAATTTCTTGTCGTTTTTTGGTAAGCGACATGAAAAGTTAAAAGGGAAATCCCCCAAATTAACCCTCTCTCTCCTTCTCTCTCTCTCTCTCCAGTTCCAGTTGTTTCAGACGTCATGTACGTAGTCAAGAGTTCCGATCTGAATTGCTAAAATCCCACAAATTTGGCTTCAAAAATAACAAGTAAGTTTACATTTTTATCGCTTCTTCCCAATCCCCTACACTGAAACTCAACAACTTTACCTATTTCGTAAATGTCCTGTTTCTAATTTAGAATCAATGTTGATGGGAAATTGGGCCTAATGTAATTTCCTTCAATTTTCGATTTTTCTTTTTCTAAATTGCTTCCTGTTTCTGGGTTCTATTTACATTTCAAATTACATATGTTGCGACTGCAAATTGTTATCTGCCGTTTTGTTTTGTTTCCTTCACGCTAAAAATTAGCTCATTTCAAATGGGTATTTTAGAACTTCTTTAATCTGCTAATTGAGTATGGAGTTTTAGAAATTTATTCCTTTGCTCCCTTTTTCTTGGGATTTTTTTGTTATATTCTGGAAACTGATGCTAATAATTCGATTTCTCATTCCTTGATCATAAACGTGTTTGAAATGGGTTGACGTTTTTAAATTGTAAATGGTTTGTTTTTTTATTATTATTTATTTAAAGGTAACTGATATCAATCGAGATTTGATCAATGAAGACAAAAAATAAAATAAAAAACAAACAAGAAATAAGAAAGAAAAAGAGCAACTATTGAGAAAACAGAATTATTTTCTCATTTAAACACCTTTCCCGCTACGAACTCTAAGCAGAAAAGATGTTGTATTCTTCATTGGAATACTTATCCTAGTTATTTATGCTTGCAGTGAGTTCTGAAGTTGGTATAGGCAATCATGAAGAGATCATTTCAGATGATTCAACTGAGATTGATCTTAATCTTGGCAATGATAGTGCAAGAGTAACTACTACTGTCCAACAGGAACAAGTGCCTGATGTTGGAAAAGGCAATGAAGAGAATTGTTCTAAAGATGATGAGTCTAATGAAGTAAATATTGAAGAGCCATATGTTGGTCAGGAGTTTGATTCTGAAGATGCTGCACATTCGTTTTATACCGCATATGCAATGCGTATGGGCTTCATTGTTCGCATGGACTGCTTGCGCCGTTCAAGGGATGGAACCGTCATTAAAAGGACTTTTGTTTGTAACAAAGAGGGTTACCGCCGTACTAATAGGTCTGACGAGAATAGCAAGAGGCCGCGCAAGCCCTTTAGAATGGGTTGCAAGGCTAAGCTCTCTTTAAGGAGGCTCAGTACTGGGATATGGATTGTTACAAAGTTCATCAAGGAACATGCTCATCCTTTGCCCGGGAGCAAGGGTCAAAATGAACTCAACAATGATCAAACTCTGGTAAGCCTCTCATAAGCTCTATTTATTTATTTATTCGTTATTTATTTATTTTCAGTTGTTGTTAAGGTACCAGTGTTGCTATATAGATCATTTAAGTCCATTGTTAGATACTAATTATCTTGAACTTTTGCCAACTTGGATTAATACAGAGTGGACATATGAACATCTTTTCTTTTGTGCATGTAATATTTTTCAGTTTTGCATATTGAACAGTTGCACGTATCCTCAGTGATGCCTTACATGGCAAGCATGTAAAGTATTTAAAAGAAAAATCTTATATGATCTTATGTAACATAATACTGGAAAGTGGAAAAGAGCACCTGCTATTCATCACCGTGGTGATGCATCATCACAGTGTGTGAATAAAAGAGAAATAAGTAAACTGTAGAAGAATTAAGTGCCAACGTGTAATGTGACGGTTTTAATGTCTACTCACTTACATAATGGTGATTGCATTACTAATGGTGATAATTAGCATTTTTTCTACTGGAAAGTATAATGTGCAATGGCTGATAGATGACAAGTCTATCTTGGGTGATAGACATCAGCTTTTAATCTTAACTGCAATCTGAATTCCTTCTCTTTCTTTTTCAGAATGAGAGTGCGAGGATTAAAGAGCTAACTAAACAGCTGCTTCGTGAGAGGAAGCGGTCTGCTTCATTTAGAAAGATTATAGACCTCCTCTTCAGTCATATTAAGGAGCATACAGAAGAACTATCCAGAAAGATCCAGTGCATTGCAGACAAGGTGAACGAGATCGATTCTATGGGCAAAAATCATCAGGAAACTCGCAGATAGCCTTATCATTGATATGTAAATCACCAAATTGTTTATGTCCAAATTGGCTTCATTAGTTTCTTTTTGAATTATTACCCCTCAAATCTCTACTATGAAGCTGTACTTAGATTTTTTTTTTTTTTTTTTTTTTTTTTTTTTTTTTGGGTTTTTATTTTTT